GGCTGCGCCCAAAACACAGAGTCGCTGATCGGTCGGGACGTGCTCGTCGAGACAGCCCGTGTACTGTCGCAAACGGAGCATTTTGCTCCCGGGCCCGTATCTGGGCTATATCCTAGGATTTGTCCGAACTACCCCCTGCCGGTGATCTCCGCACCCAGACCTTCGTCGTCGGAACACTCAAAGGAAGCTTTTTGCCATGGGGTGGGCCGCTCCCTGATATCAAACCTTTGCGATAATTGCACAGCGGCCATGTGGAGCGGCATCAACGTTGCCGGGAGATGCGTGGATGGCTGAGCTTGATCAATCGCCGCCAACGTCTGATTTGGCCTCAGTATTGGCTGTGTGCCCAGTGTTTTCGTTGGCTCTATGCCATTCATGACAAATGGCCCACACGAGACGAGAGCATGTGATTCGGTGCAGGAACCACAGCGACGGTTGGATCAACGACTCGGCTTCGACAGTGAACAACAATACCCGGGCTTGCGGGGCTCAGTCCTTCCGGGGCAAGCCTAGATCGTCCCGTCACCGACATGGCGAGAGGGACGCCGGTCAAAGGCCGGGCGTGTGTCTGTCAGGTTCATGCAAAAAGGCGACATGTATGAGTGTGGTCAATTGTCTTTTTGAATGGCACGGTCGGAACGACGATCAATCAGGGTTCTTCTGGCTCCTTCATGCTCGTGCCGCTTATCCATGTGAGATCAGACCATTCCCTGTAGGGATCATGGGCCTGCCAGGTCGGCCAAGACAGTCTTTATAATATGGGCCAGCTGAGTGCCTTCCTCCCATACAACATCGTGGTTGCCAGTGAGATCCTTGGTGACTTTGACCTGAACCTTATCCTTTCCCAGCCGCTTGGCCATGAGGTCAATCTCAGTCTCATCGACGAGCTGGTCACCGGGCGACCAGGAAAGGTAGGCACGCGTGGACCCGAGCTGCTCGCTGAAGCTGCCGCTGTAGCATGCGGGTATGCGATCGTTCCAGGCCGACTCGTCGTCGCCAAACGCCCCAGCAACGAAAGCGGCGTAGGCGGGACCGTGGCGCTGGACAAATTTGCGCAACTCATAGATGCCTGAGACGCCGACGACAGCAGAGGGCAGGATGACGCTAGGGGTAGGTGCGGCAGGAGCACCAAGGCCGATGGCGGCACCACCCATGGCCAACTGATACGCCATGGTGGCACCGGCAGAATGGCCGATCAGGACATAGCGGTCGCCAAAGGCATACCGCTCCTGTAGACTAGCGAGAGCGGCGCGCACGTCAAGCAGGTGATCGGGGTGGCGGGCTTCGCGCAGCTCCGAGGGCGGCACGGAAGAAGGGTCCTGGGGAAATTCGGGGTGGGGTGAGAGGCGGTAGTCGATGCTGGCGAAGGCACGGATGCCGGAAGAGGTGAGGCCGGGGCCAGAAGGGTTGGCGGAGGCGAGGAGCGAGCGAATACAGGGAACAAAGCCCGGGTAGAGTTTACGTGGATCACGCCAGGCGCCGCCGTGGATGAAGCTGGTGGAGAGAAAGAATGAGACACGGGATGAGCGAGTTCTGATAGACGAGGTGCAAAGGAGGGGGGGAGGGGGGCAGGGGGCAGGGGGCCGTGGAGGGCAGAAG